GTATTTAGCTTTTCGTTCGAGTGTGTTTAGTTTGTAGTGAACTTACTTGCTGTGTCTGCGGTTGCGAGTTTGAGTCCCGCTGGGGGAATACATTTGTGTGATGAGTACGAATATTTGTGCTCCATTCATGAGTGATATGTTATTATTTCTATTTATAATATGTATGTCTTTAAAGTTATATATGTGTAGTACATATATCAACTACCTGGTAGCCATAACACGAGCCTCGTAGCTAACCACGGAACTAGATGGTGCTGTGTGTTAATATCGCAACAAAAAAAACTATTATAAGTATATAAAAATATTTATTTAAAATATTTAAAAGTATAGTACCTATTATTTGTATCAAATAAACTAGTTACAAACGTAGGAACATATCCACTTAACGTTCTTTTATTGGATCAAAATCATAGACGGTTAAATCTTAGACCATAATGCTGATAAAAAAAGTCTATTTACTCTAGCAATTGTTACACATACACTTTGACAACGACGAACTTTAAGGTGGACTGAAGCAAAGTATCGGCTTTCTTAGGCCAAAGATCCCGTTACGTAGTTTATTTTCAAAATGTTTAAATATATATATTTTTTAATATTTATACCATATAAAAAATATATCTATATGTGTCCAGTCCACGAGGATTGGATTCCAGTCCCAAAATAATGATTTGCATTACTATTAAAATATTCTCAGTAGAGTAGAGAGAGTTAGGTAGATAGTGGTAATCTGAAACTGGAGTATAAGTACAGTAGTGTCTCTGAGAACATAATAATAATGTCCTTCATTGAAACTAGCTAACTGTGCAGGAGATATTATAGTAACAAGTGTGCGCGCCAACACAAGAGCACTCTCTACCTGTCACTCTCATACTCCGGTGGGACGACTATTCGACACGACCAGTGAGAGTTAAGGCGCAGGACCAACGGCCTTACGTGCTCCCAGGACAGAACACCGCCAACTTCCCAACTCCGGGTTGTTACTGTTAATCCCTTAATAGGAAGACTCCGTACCTGAACTTGGCCCGACCCGGGACTCGGACCCAGAACCTCCGAATGTGTAACCGTACATGCTGGCTAAGAACACATAAAGCCAATGTTACATAATGTGTTTTATACCAGATTATGTCGAAATTATCTCGTTAGACTATAAGAGTATATAAATAGATAGTGCACTTGTTTGTGCATACACTTGTTACCAGTAATCTAAGTCTCACAAAGGGACGGCACGAGTTGAGAGATTCATTAATGAATGAATTTCCTAAATTGTGTCATGCCCTGGCCTTGTCAGTAAGATTGGTCGTCATAATCAAACACTGGTTTGGTTATTTAGTACGTTATTGTTATTATAGTAGGAACATAAGTACATAAATTACAACATAGTTATGTATGGAACTACAACTTATTACCATTTATAACTCGTATCTAACACGCGATGTCAAAACTGAGAACAAAGGAGTGTCCAGTTCAGCATCCTTATTAATGTAACAGTGTAGGTGGAAGTAATTATTCTAGCCTCAAAGGTGATTTGCTATTACTATATACAACCTCTCAGAGAGGTTTGCATCTAAATCTGGTCATCATCTTATTTACGTAAGTAATACCTAATCTAAGTGTTAATTGAAATAGCCGTAAAGGTCATGTTCAATGTCAGAATTACACAGAATTTGCGATGACTGGATCAGGGACAAAATGTAAGCTTTCTTCTCTTTGACGTTACGACGTTAATACTTAAGCAAAGGAAACCTTTCCAATTAAGATGCACTACTGTTTATTCTTATTAATTTACTAGCATTGCCCGCGGCTCCGCCCGCGTTCAGATGACCAAAAACCAAATTCTTAGGCTTTACATATTAGTATACTCTTACAAAGCAGTTTTTGTATTTTTTTCTCAGAAATGAGATAATTTCCCGCGATAAAAAGTATCATATATATTGACCCGGATAACCAACTATCATCATACTATATTTCATCAAAATTTTTTCGTGATACGGTAACAGACAGACAAACAGACGGACGGACGGACGGACAGACAGACAAAAATTCTAAAAACTATAGATTCGGCCTCTGTATCGATAATAATGTCTATTTCAATAAGATTTTCCAAAAAATATTGAATGTACAGATTCGGCTTTGTTACAATTTTATTATATGTATAGATAATTAATCCTTTACAATATAAGGTACACGTGTATTTTGTGTTATTATTTACACGCCCTCACGTCGCAATGTCACGTCCGTAAGTTACCTTGCACTGGCTGACATCCCAAGGAAACAAATAAAATTGATATTTTAATAATAACCCACCCATATTTCTATCATTTCCCACTTTTATTTGTTCTACTCTGTATTAAACAAACACATTTTGGTATTATAATAATATTGGTTAAGCGTTACATGGACTCTGTATTCTCTTGTGAATACTTGTATTGATGTTTGCGGTGGATTGAAATTCCGTCTAATCTGATATCAAAGGCAGCCTTTTGGTACGGTCTCAAACCTATACTAATATTATAAAGAGGTAAAGTTTGTGAGTTTATGACGTTGTAGGGGGTAATCTCTGGATCTACTGAACCGATTTGGATGAAATTTAGTAAGAAGATAGTTTGAGACCCTGGGTAGGATATAGGATACTTTTTATCCCGAAAATCATGCCTTAAAGGGATGAAAATGGGGGTGAATGTTTGTAGGCAAATATAATAAATATTTCGTGGGATGAAATGAATATAGAATTTGCTACATCAGTAATGTTGAAGTTTGACGATTTTTAATTTGGAAATCTTTGCTATGATTTTAAGAAGAGTAGCTAAAATCTGCACCATATCTTTTTTTTAATTATATAATATACTTAAAGGAAAAATAAAAAAAAGCCAAAAATAAACTTTCATAATATTTTGTAAAATATGAGCCAATTTTTATTTATTTGTTATTACAATAAAGTTGTTATTCTCTATTTATAATATATATACCTATATATGTATAAATACCTATATAGAAAAAGTCCTGTAAGAATACTGAGACAGAAAGTTTTCAATGGCATAAAATTTTAAAGTAAATTGGCGTAACTATTACGTATTTAATGATTAAATAGCAGAGCATCTCCAATTTCGCTACGGAATATAATAAAGGCACTATTCTAATGAATATAATACTCTTGGCAGTAATTTATATATTTTTATGTCAGTTTAATAAAGGGAATTTTGTTTCTAGTAAAACTTAATTCAGTTCTGCCAACATTAACCTATTATTAAAAATATATAATCTAAAAATATTGTCATTTATAATATTTATTAAAAAAGAGTGGTGTACAACAGGTAAAGTTAAGCAAACATACGAGTGTTAACTGTTTTGATTTTATGAAAATTAAAATAGTAAATATTTGCTGTAATTGAATGCTGCACTTAATTGAGCTTTGTTTTGCAAACATTGTCTGACGATATGCGATTACACGAGTAACTAACTCAAGCTATAATGCTTTATCGAACCACTTTGCTTGTGTTGAAAGTATTTGAGTTTTACTTTTTTGAGTTTTTACTGCACTTAACTATATTTTATAAGTAAATTTTAACAGATTTTTGTGGGGTGAACTACCTATAAACAAATTTAATAAAGTGCGAACTAGATCAAAAACAAACAGAATACAGTGAACATTTGTCTAAAAATATTGTCATGTAATTGTTTCCCGAGGGAGTATTACAACGATGCTAGTACGAGTAACTTAAGAATATGTGTCGAAGGTTCTTGTTAGCTCTTCATTTTGAACTAAATTAATTTAATTTTTTTCCATCTATAGTTAGGAAAAAAACAGTGTGATATAGCCATTTTTAAAATTGCGCTGCGGATTGCACCAGAAATTATGTTCTACTCTCACCTTCGATTCACCTTAGCTTCGCTCGTGTTCGTCCCTTTTCATGGGTTCTAACTTTTTTGCGCGAAACTCCAATAATTTTTCTAAAATAAAAGTGACCTAAGATACTCCTTGTAATAAAAGCTATCTGCCAATGAAATTCCCGTCAAAACAGACAAAAGTGTTAAACATTGTTTTTTTTTCTTATAAGTACCGTGTTAACTTTCGTATGTAAATAGTAAAAAGTTATTATTTATTTGTATAGATTACATGTAATCAATTTCAATTTTAGAAATTATTATGGTAATTGCTCAGTTATAATTAAATTATGTTAAATGCGTCATTACTCTGCGTAATGTAATTACGCAGAGTAATACACGGTGGACAATGCATTGTTGCCCGCCTATATCTGTGGTTTTACATAATTGAATTGCAATTGGAACGTTATTATCATTTCGATCTACTTTGCAAATATGTGAAATTAATAATCCATACACAAACATAATTTTAATTACACGTTTATTCCATATTTATGTGTTGTGCTTCACCTAGGAAATATTTACACAAATACCTACCTACACATGTATATACATCGTACATAATGCTTTGTACAAAAAAAATTATACTCTACTTTTAGAAATCGTACCAATGGAATTTATATTTATAACAACTGACATCGAGCACCCCACGCTTTTTTATAATAACATTAAATTGCTCATTAATACTAAAAAAAATATTCATTATTTTTTTAGTTCGGTTCATCATTAAAGCGTGTTTTTTAGTTTTATAAACTTAATAATTTGTTTTCCATTTTTTAGTTTCATCTGCTATGTACGCGTGTTTCTTGTAGTTTTTTAAATTATAATTCTTTTTTAATAATATTTTTTAATAAATTATTGTATAGTCATCAGTTCTTTGTAAATTGTACAAAGTTTCAGTTCAATCTGAAGTTTGGGTGAAAATAGCGTTCTAAGATTCCGATAAATAGATACATGTGAAGCTAATAAAAGCGTGTTGAAAATTTAAAATTGTGAAAATCTGTGATTTTTCTATAGAATTTTTGTATGAAGTCAAACATCACAATGGTAAAAACTTGGACAAGACAACTTATTATGTATTATATTATATATCATTAAAAGTGGCATGCAATACTTACCCGGTTGATTCCACACGGTGGCCACGTCTAGTTTGAAGTTGCCCAATAGTTTGTTTGCTCGCAAGATGTGCCGCGATTGTAATACCTGCAACATTGCAGCGCATGTGACGTGCTATTTCGACCTGCATATTTTTATTTTATGAGGTAAAACTTACCACATTGGTAACAATTAAACCATATTTTTTTTAAATGCTGCATTACTTCATTTTACTAGGTTTTAAATGTGCCAAATATATTTTTTATTATATTTTATAATTAAAACATAATGAAACTATAAAAACTATAGCTTAAAAATAATTATTATATCTAAATGCAATGAAATAGCTGAGAAAATTAATTCAGAGATAGTCTTCAAAAAAAAGTTTGTCCTCTACAAAGGACATGGTCGCCACGAATGTGGGTAGTTTTAATTAAAAATATGCTGTAAGAAGCTCGCTTCGCTCGCGAGATTAATTGAGAGTAAAAATTAAGATTTCTTACTTCATTTCTCAATGTTGAATAGTTTTAGAATATAAATTCAAAGTAAATGTTTAATTTTAAAACTTTTTAAATATGTTCTACTACGCAGAGCGGTATGAATAAAACTATAAAAAAAGAAAGATAACAAAAACATGAGAAAAAAGATATTTTCTGATGAGTTTTTTTCGCCAGTTCTTCTTAGGAATGAGATTTTATTTCCCAACTTGTGGTAGACTCATGATGTTCAGTAAATATTTGTAATAATTAAATGCTGAATAAAATATCGCCGTCTAGTGCAGTAAGAGCCTTGGGGCGTAACAACAATTTTGTAAGCATCAGAGGCATAATTACACACGTTTCCTTCAATCTAACGTAAGACGCTAGTGTAAGGGAAGAGCTACAGATCCTGCTATCAGGCAGGTTTTATACTTTTCACTTTTGAACTCTGTGGCAAGAAAAATGCTGACATTTTCAATGACAAATTATTTTACAGATACTTTTCCAAATCTATATTAATATACATATAAAACTGAAGAGTTTGTTTGTTTGTTTTTTCACTCGTTCGTTCGTTCATTTGTTTGTTTGTTTGTTTGTTTGTTTGAATGCTCTAATCTCTGAATCTACTAGTCCGATTTGAAGAATTCTTTTTGCGTTATAGCTTATTTATTGGGGAAGGCTATAGGCTCTCTTACATCACACTACGACCGAAGAGAATGGATTTATTGCACAAGTTCATTGGCAGAGCCCTGAGAATACGCTAATTCGTATATAACACGTTAGATAGGTACATAACTGGTGTTATATTAAGGTATATTTTTTCTACTTCGTTTAACTGCAATCACAATAACAGTACATATGCAAATGTGCATATGCACTGTTATTAGTGGCCTTGATCTAGATGAACCTTCGGCACGGTATATAATTTAAAACAAAAATGGTGCAACATATCGCTTCAACCAAATAAAGCAAACAATATGATAGATTATTTATTGAAGACCCATGTCACCATTGAAAGAACAGATTTTTGCCAGTGCGTCACATCGAACGGTTTTAGGTCATGTCTATTCTGAAAATTCATCGAAATATCTGTGAGGTTGTTTGTGTTGTTTGTTTGTTGTGTTTTTGTAGGACTTGAAAAAGAAAAACGCACTCAATTCTCAATTTTATTGTTCTAGTTCTCCATGCCTGTATTTTTTATTTTTTTGCGTGTCTGTTACAAGTCGATGTGTCTTATTTTTATAAAGTATGTTTTAACGTTTAGTATAGATTTCTCAGAGATGAGATATTTTCCCGTAGTAAAAATTATCCTATATGTTGACCCGGATAACCAAGTACCATCATAGTAAATTTCATCAAAATCCCTCCAGTGGTTTTTCTGTGATGCGGTAACAGACAGACAAAACTCTAAAAACCATAGATTTGGCCTCTGTATCGATAATAATCTCTATTTCAATTAGATTTTCCAAAAAATATTTAATGTACAGATTCGACTCAGTTAGAATTTTATTATATGTATAGATCTATTTATAAAACTCTACTGTAAAAGTAAAATGATAACAAATACTCAGGTGATCGATTTAACTTCTCTTTATTTATCACCCCATTAGCGTTACAGTCTCTGAGGAGGCAATATGTAGCAGTAACTATGAAAAATTCCATTACTCTTACTGCTATCGTTAGTCGTTATTAAGTAAATAAGGAATTAGATGGAATGTTTTGTGTCCGAACTTGGACGAGTCTATTTGTTTCATAGTTCGTCATGTGGGGTTAAGTTTGCCTCTAGAATAAACGTGAGGTGCCTGAATTCAAATGTTTGATTATATTGGTTATTATAGTAGCAACTCACCCTCGCTCCACTCGGATTCGTCCCTTACGTTATAAAGTTTATATTTCTCAGAGATGTTTTCCCGCAGTAAAAAGTATCTTATATGTTGACACGGATAACAAGCCTTCATCATACTAAATTTTATCAAAATCTATCCGACAAGCAAATAGACAAAAATCTAAAAATTATAGATTCGGCCTTTGTATCTATAATAATGACTATTTCAATAAGATTTTCCAAAAAATATTTAATTTAGAGATTTGACTCAGATTTTTTTATATGTATAGAATAGAGTATTATTTATATATAATCAGGCAAAGACGAAGCAGCTCTGTACCATTTTCTCGTCTGTTTGTCGAGATAGATGAACTTTTGTGTTATCAATAAAAGATTTTTGGAAACAGTTTTCTTTATATAGATAGACTAACGACTCACCCTCGCTTCGCTCGGGTTCGTCCCTAGGTTGATTCCCCATACAAATTTTCATCCCCATTTTCACCCTCTTAAGGGATGATTTCTAAAATAAAAAGTATCTTATATCCTTCCCAGGGTCTCAAACTATCTTCATACCAAATTTCATCTAAATCGGTTCAGTACATCCAGAGATTACCCCTTTAGTCACAAACTCACAATTCACAAATTTTACCTCTTTATAATATTAGTATAGATAACATCTATCTATATAAATTGTGTTTTTTGGAATAACTTAGAACATTTTCTATCTGGGTTTAAGGTTTCGTTCATAAGCTGTTTAACAGTTTGTAATCGATTAATGCAAAAACGTAGATAAAGTTTCAAAAGCTTTTCCTTTTTGATCAATTTGATTCAAAAGATTTTGCCTCTACTAATTTATTTTATGGACGTGAAATAACTTAAGTTCAGCTGCAAATTTTTAGATTTTGGGTCGAGTGGTCCTAATGTCACCTAATACATCAATAAATTGAAATATTTCTACTATAATGTTATTATTTATTGGCTGGGCGGTTAAGGTGAAAACTACGTACTCGTAGGTAGACTAAGACCTGGAATAACACAACAAAAATGTGTTAGTAGTGTAAGTTATAAAATATGCCAAAAGCCAATGCTTATATAAGTAGCGCCTACCTTCATTGGTATATTATATTATATGTACATCCATACTTCCATTTATAAATATTATAAATGTGAAAGTGTGTGTTTGTTTGTCTTTCTTTTATGACGAAACGGAGTGACGGATTGGCGTGATTTTTGGTGTAAAGATAGTTAGAGAGCAAGAGGAGTGATGTAGGCTACTTTTTATCGCGGGAGGCAGCCGACAATATTTTAAGACTTGAATATCTAGTAGGTAAATATGATTAGGTATGAACTCTAATATAGTTAAAGTATTACCTATATATCAATTTGTGATGTCTATTACGTATCGAAATACATGTGTATATTAGATTTGCTTTGCATCGGCTGGCACCGGCTTCGAACATATCTGATTAGATATCTATTCTAAATGAAAACCTCCGTTTAGTTATTTTTTACATTTTCGTTCCTGAGCCGGTTTTTTTTTAATTTTATTAGATGCTTTTTTATTTTTTGTTGTTTGTAGTCCTGCTAGTACAAAATAAAAACAAAAGACGCCCTAATAAAAAAGTCGTATAAATATTTGTATTTCCAACATAAATAGAATGATGTTCACGGTGAATGTGTAAATCCATATTCAATGCCGCCGGCACGAGTATCATCTGACATGAAATTCATTAGAGTGGTGTGTCCGTCCGTGACATAAAACACGACGCTTATAAACTGCACGACATTGTGCGAAAGGCTTGTGATGTATTTGAGCCATGCGATAGGATGCGGTAACTACGATATATATTATATATTACTGTAAGTCAGTATTTTCAAATACTAAGTTTGTCAAAGCTATATTTGATTGATTAATATTTTCATTCCTGTTATGTCGATTATATAGCTTTGAAAATATATTTAACTAGCAATGTCCGCGGCTCCGCCCGCGTTCAGATGACCAAAGACCAAATTTCATAGGTTTTACAGATTAGACATTGCAGTTTTTACATTTTTTCTCAGAAATGAGATATTTTCCCGCGGTAAAAAGTATCCTATATGTTGACCCGGATAACCAGCTATCACTATACCAAATTTCATAAAAATCCCTAGAGTGGTTTTTCTGTGATGCGGTAACAGACATACAGACAGACAGACAAAAATTCTAAAAACTATAGATTCGGCCTTTGTATCGATAATAATGTTTATTTCAATAAGATTTGCCAAAAAATATTTAATGTGTTACAATTTTATTATATGTATAGATGAAATAAATCATGTCGATGAATTGTCACTTCAATATCTTCTTCATGTATGTCTAAATTATTATAATAATGTAAAAATTCTCTGTTATATGCGAGTGAGCTCTAGAATTACGTACCTCGTGTTTTTTACACGTCACACGAAAAGTTATAAGATCTTTATATGTCAATCCTAGGTTTGTCAGTATTGAAATGTCAAGGTACTTGTAATATAGCTACGAATGTGACCAAAAAGTTGAACATTTAACAATGATCACGCTGGTTCATTTTAATTACCATCAATAATAAAAATCTTTCTTGTATCTATCGAGATAGTGCAAAAAAAGGAAGTTAAACAATTTAAAAATGGTTAAATCTTCCTTTACTTCATTCCAATAAAGTATATCCCTCGATCTATTTTAACACGCTTTTATTACTTTAGTTTACCTTGTAGCTGTGTAATCAAATCTCGATAGTGTATTTTGTGTACTTCTACTGTAGGTATCGGTTTGAAACTACATTTGT